GTGGTATATGTACTTCAATGGATTTCTTATGCTATATATCTTGGTTCTAATCTATATATAGATGCATACTATATTTTCTTGACATTTTACATGCCATTATAGTTGATAAACTTAAGGCATGACTTGTGTGTTCCAAAATCTTGGTTGTGCATGAAACGTGGTTAATGCATTTCTTGTATTTTAATACAATCTTGACTTGCACAACTTGTTGATTTTGGGAATTGGGATATCAATCAAGAATTGTTATGGCTAGGACTTGGTTCTAGTACAGGGGAAGGTACCCTTGGGTTGATAACCCTAAAGTGATCCCAAGACTAAGGGAAGGTACCCTTGGGTTGATAACCCTAAAGTGATCCCAAGAGTACGGTTTTCATCCGGGCGATATCTAAGTTTCCACATTATTTGATCTCACTCTTTAGATTTCAAGTGTTGCATTCCTCGAATTTTTAAAACTCCTTCGTGTTATAGGAAATGTTCCATCCTTAATTAACTGCATAGATATTATGCCTTGTTTTTGGATTCATGTGTTTTCCTTATCGTGTTACTTAGAATGTTCCAATCATGTTAAATTGCATAGATATTATGCTTTGTTCTTGATTTCATGTATAACTTCTTTTCGTGTTATATGAAATATTTCATCCTTGTACAATTGCGTAGATATTATGCCTTGTTCTTGACTTCATGTATAATCTCTTTTCGTGTTTCATGGAATGTCGTATCCATGTTTAATCGCATAGATCATATGCCTTGTCCTTGATTTCAAGTATACTTTATGTCGTGTTAATTGGAATATCCTAATCTTGTTTACTTGCATAGACATTATGCCTTGTTCTTGATTCCATGCGTTATTCTTGTCGTGTTCTTTGGATTATCCTAATCTTGACTTGCTTCATATATGTAGATATATTATGATTCTTGTTGCTTATGCTCCATGGTAGTTTAGGATGATCCTTGAGTCTAATCTTTGACATAGACGTTAGGTGGCATGATCTTTTTTGAACTATATCATGTTAGTCCTAAAAATCTCTAAAGAAATCGAGCTGATGCATGCTCATTCTCTACGAGTAAACTTGTTTACTCACCCTGAAGTTACTGGGGGATTTGTTCAGGTACGAACACTTGGTTCGTGATGCTTGTCGATCATTTCGTGGATGACTTGTAGCTCTTAAGTTTCCATTTCATGCAAATGTTAGCATGAGATGCCTTTTGTAACTTTATTTGACAAAATATGTATATTTGATTCCATTTATGTAATGTGTACATAAGTACACCCTTTTTATTGTATTCAACATGTATAAGATGAGGCCGAAGGCCAATGACATGTACCTTGTATCCTATGTAACTTTTAACTTCATGAAATATTATGAAAATATTGAAAAATGTCAAGTATTTGTCTCACCATGGTTGCATCGGGTGTGGGAATTCCATTTTCATTCTTTCATAGGATCTCATTAATCATGTATGAAGTGTAGCCAAAGGCCAAATGGTCATTTGAAACCATTTCCGAATTTTTATTTTCACTTTTCTCATTTCAAGTTAATTTTCGCCTTTTTGGCCATTGGGGGATCGGATTTTGACTCGGTCATTTTCGGGAGCCACGGACCATTCCCGCGCACTCAAAATCATTATTTATGTTTGCATGAATGATCGTTTCCATGGAAAACCTCTTCCGTGGTGAAATGAGCCTTCGACGGACTCGTTTCACACTTTCTTTTTTTAAAAATCTTGTTCAAGGGCATTTTGGGTATTTCCTTTGGGGAATAAATTCCGTTCTCAACTCCGTCACATAGAAAATGTGATTTTAGGGGGAGTTTCTTCACGATATTTTTCCGAAAAATGTCATCTTGACCTCGAAAACTATGCTCCAAACTCAATTTTCTGCATTTTCCACTGTTTCTGCTAAAACTACTGTTTCTACCCAGGTTGAACCGGTTTAAGATGGTTGAACCTGTTCAAGATGGTTGAACAGGTTCAAGAGGTGTCTTTTGGTCCAGCTTGGGTGTACTGCCCATGTTGAACCAGTTCAAGGAGGCTGAACCAGTTCAAGTTCCCCAGATCCTGTTTGAAGGTCCAGCTTTGGTCTTCCAACTTTGAACAGTTGTAATTTCTTCGTTTCAACTTTGAATTGGTCCATTCTTGAGTCTAAACTGACCATGTCAAAGTAAGATTTCCAATGGTACCAATTTCAGCTTCAGATTCTTTTCCTACCTCAAGATATCCTCGTTTTAGTGAGAGAGTGTTGGATTTGGTTCTCTTCCTTTGGCCTTAGGACTTCATGTGAAGTTACCGAAGGTTGTTTTTGAATGTTTTTGATATTGTTTGACTTGTTGGAAGTCAAATTCCTTCCTCTTAGGGTAAAATGACCATTTTACCCTTGGTCCTTCCTTCGGTAGGGTTTTCATACCCTTGTCTTTGTTTTGTTTCCGCACTTTGTTCCTTCGGGTTCCGTGACCTCATGGAAGGTTATCAAAGGGTCTTAGAGGTGTGTTATGCCTTGGGAGATCATTGTCTTGTTTCTTGCTTCCGCATCTGGATCCGTTAACGGGTCAATCTTCAGTTCATCACTGTAGTATCGGGTTGAATCAAAACCCGGGTCGTTATAACAGTTCTTTGAGAATATTCTTGAATTTTGGAGTTTAAGTTTAATTAAATAAAGTAATTATTTTTCATTTTAGAGACCATTTTGTAATTTAATTTAGAAGATATTTTGGAAAATGACCTTTTTGTAATTTTTGAAAAGTGTGACAAGTGTCACTCTCATGGTGCCACTTGTTGGCATTAGGGTGGAGAGACTTGGTAGCTTAATCTCATGACAAATGAAGGGTGGAGTGTAACGACCTGAGTTTTTCAACCCTAGTACGTCAGCGATGAGCCGAAAGTTGACCCGGTAACGGATCCGAAATGCAGAAGCAAAAGGTAAACCAAAACTTCTAGAGATATAAATTATCCCTAGAACACCAATGTGACCTTCCACGAAGTCACGGAACTCAAGGGAATAACCGGAAGTGAAAGCTAGGATGAAAAGGTCACTTAGTACCCTATGGCACCAATGACAACCAAAAGAGCAAGATCTAGTTCAAACTAAATCATGTGTGCTATAGAATGGCTCAAACAAGATAAACAAGGTCCTGTAGGAACAACAAACGAAGTTAACCTGTCTAGGTAACAAACCAAACAAAACCTACAAGGCAGCTCCATTTCGGTCGACCGAAATAGAGCTTCGGTTTGCCGAAATAAACCAAGAAAAAGAGAAAAATTGAGCCTTCATTTCGGTCAACCGAAATGACAAACCGGTCGACCGGTTTGTGGCTTGAGATGGAAAAGGGTACAGGAATTGGCAAAACACTGTTCAACTAAAACCACAAGAGAATCGATCGATCGAACTAAGCCATCGGTCGACCGAATTGGGCCAAACATCAAAAATGGCTACTGGAATTCAAGATTTTGATGTTCAAACAATTTGAACCGAGAATTGGTCGACCGAAACAGGCGATCGGTCAACCGAAACAAGTCGAAAATGAGGAAATGAACCTGCTATGCACCAAAATGAAGAAAAGTCCTTAAGTCTTATTTGAATCCCCCATGGTATGATCAAAATAGATTATATGCTATTGTGTGATGATGTGAACATACACGCAAGTGTAAAATAGTGTTTTAAACATGTTACAATGGCCTACGGCCTTATTACATTTTATTTACAAGATTTGACATGCCAAACCTTCAAAGTTGATAAAAATACATTTTTCAAACAAAATATGGCACCAATTGAATACAAGTGCAATTATAAACATGCTTGACCCTTGGCCTCATGTCATGCATGTCAAACACATTACAAAAAGTGTACTTATGTACATATTACATATTTAGAACAAAAATACAAGTTTTGTCATACAAAGCCACAAATAGGATTTCACGCCAACATTTTCATGAAAATGATACTTTAAGTCTACGAAACTTCCATGGAGTGGTGTGCATCCCAAATCAAGGTCCCTGTACCTGAAAAATGTCTCCACTACGTGGGTGAGTAACATAAAGCTACTCGTAGGAGATGCGCATGCATCGACCTAGCATTTTACAATTATATCACCTTAAGGTGAAACATGTTAAAGGGGCTCATGCCACCTAACGTCTATGTCAAAGTGAGACTTAGGGATCATCCTACGCTACTCATGCAATTTAAAATGAACAACGGCATACAAGTATACATGCTCAAGTATACTAAGCAATGTTAAAACATGTTATGCATTGTCTAAGCATGCATATACAAACATACAATTAACATGGAAAACTCACGAATGAAGTATACCGGCACAAGTATACTAAGCTAAATGATTTACGCATATGATAAACATACATGACACAAGTATACATAATGAAGTCCGATTGCACAAATCAAACATGCATTGCTTAAGTATAATAATTAGGGTTTGGATACACAACTAAGGATACAAGTTCAAGTATAGTAAATGAGATCTAAATACACAAAACAAGTATGCAGTTTCAAGTATACTAATTATGATTCAAATATCCAAAGCAAGCATTAATTCTCAAGCTACAAGTAATCCATGATTAACGGCTTGAAATTAAAAGCGAAATTAAACAGTGGAAAAACTAGGACATGTGGTCGCTAGACCAAACTGCTATTTTCGGGTAATTACGACCCATAAGGTACCACCTAGTGCGCACTTATGACTTAGAGGACACTTGTCCACGTATAACGAACTATACACCAACCCTGGGAATGAAATTTTTTTTTTTATTACATCCCAATCCTCCTTTATCAAAACATTTACCCAATCTCGATTTCCAATGTGCAAATATATATGGTAATGAGCCTACTATTCTTGCGTAGATTGCACTAACACCCACTGCTGTATCATACTAAGTGTCCATGGTTTATATAAATTACCACCATCAATCCGAATGATCCAAATACAAATGAATGTGATGCACTTGTACCGTAACAAACATGTCTATGTATAACATGAATAAAAACATACCCTTAATTAGTGTGAGGTGCCCATGCATCATATGGTGTAACATTATACACCCTTCCCTGATGCACCTGTTGTATTGGTTGCCCCAGTGGTGCTGGAAAAGCTGGATAAGCCTGAGTCGGCACATGCGAGAACTGTGGAGCCGATAATGGTTGCTCATGTCCCTGTTGCCCATATTGTCTCGAAGCCATCCTAGGACAACGTTTGGATGAATGCCCATATTCTCCACACTTATAGCAATGACCTCTAAAAAGGTCTATCTGCCCCTGTAGTTGACCCTGTCCAGTTTGTGGTGCCTCAATCTGCTACTTCTGAGTAGGAACCCCCTCTTTCTGAACCTCTGAAGTACCCTTGTGCTTCTTCCAAGGTTGATGTCCCTGGAATTCGCCCGTATCCTTATTTCTGGCTCCTTCGCCCTCAGCAGAGTGATTAATAGAGTCTTTATCATTCCGATTCTCATCCCTAGATCGCTTGTAGTCTTTCCTAGCCTCACAATGTTGCAAAGCTGCATCAACCACCTGTGAATATGTGGTGTATGCCGGACTTCCCAAAATAACCTTCTTAATGGGCCAAGTTAACCCATTTAAAAAGCATGCCCTCTTCTTTACCTCTGTATTTACTTCCTCTGATGCAAATAGAGATAGGTTTGTGAATTCCTGCTCATATTTTGCAACTGTCCTATCCCCTTGCTGTAGGTTAAGGAACTCATTTTTCTTAGCTGCTCTAACCGTAAACGGAAAATATTTGTTATCAAAACGATCCTGGAACTGATCATATGTCAGTGTGGTCCTTTCCTCCGTAGTGGTGATAGACTCCCACCACTGTAACGCATCTCCCACCAGCTTGAAAGTGGCGAGCATCTGTTTCTGAGTTTCTGTGCACTCCACCATACGAAGATGACGCTCAATATCCTTCTTCCACTAATGTGCAGTCTCCATATCTGTGGACCCTGAAAACTCCGGTGGACTCCCTTTAATAAAGGAATTCCTCGCTTTCTCCCAAGCACTAGGTTGTCCCACTGGTATAGGAGCGGGTGCTTGCGGAAGAAATTGCTGATTCTGAATTGCAGCCGCCATTGCTGCAGTAACAGCCTAAGTGATGATATGAACCATATTAGGAGAAATCTCTTGCTCTTTCCCTTGGTCATCATCCTGATCCTGCTGCTCCAGCACAACACTTTAGTTTTGCAGACGATTCTGACGCCTACGTTCTTGCCTCCTCCGATACCTTCCAAAATGGTGTCCTACCATTTTCTGATAAGACAATAACGATTTTACGTTAGAACGCACTAACGGACTGAGTATAGAATACAAAGAATCCTATTACTTAGGCTCTAAGCAAAACACGCAACGCAGAAATCATATAACGAAAGACACTCCTAAGGACACATGAACCTGGAGTGCTCTGATACTAACTGTGATACCCCCTAATTTCAGAGACATGGGTTGATCAAGTCCACGCTCACAAAACCAAGGGATATCAAAATAATTAATATTTAGCAAGCACAAAATACAAAGATGAATAATAACGAATAAATAAAAGGCTGAAGAAACTAATAAATAATAATTCCATTAATTAAAAATCCTCCAAAGGTTACAACTCGGGAATCTAATAGTTTAAGGACCCCTTAACCAATATCCATTAATCCAAAAATCATAAGTAAAACTAAAGTCAAATAACTTAACAACATCCTACTTTGAAATAAATGAGAGTGGATGATGGATAAACATCCAAGCTGCGGATCCTCAACCTTGAGACTTGAATTTCTATGAACCTGAAAAATAAAATAAGGTGGGTCAAAACCTACGAACAAGTTCCCCCTAACAAGCCCCTGAAAACCGATGAATAACACATCTCTAACCACAACCATCCTAATTCCAATTTTAGCCTTTAATAAATAGTGATAAGTAATAATACATAAAATCACCAATAATAATTACTACATCTATAATCCTAAACCGTGAATTAATAAATATATATATAGATTTATATATATATACACACGACCATCCTTAACATACACCGTTTCCATCACATGGAACCCCACTTTCCTAAAATTAATCCAAATGGTTAATTAACCATTAATAATGCCATGCTCAATCCTCGGAGCATTTTATTTCCTCCTATTCACATAACCATAACCATAGATGTTTATTTAATTATCTAATTCCTAAAGCGTTATATTTATGCTTTGGCAACTCGTTCCAGCCTCCACAAGTATAATATATATACTCAACCAATTAACATTCCAATTATATCTTGGCAAATAACCCATACCTCTAATAGTATGTTCTTGTCCATACTTAGTTAATGACAACTTATTCATAACTTTGGAAAATAATCCATGCCTCCAATAGTATGTTCTTGTCCATACTTAGGTAATGATAATTTATTTATATCTCTGGCAAATAATCCATGCCTCCAATAGTATGTTCTCTACATACAAAATTTATAACAAAATATTTATACCTTGGCAAATAATCCATGCCTCCAAATCAACCATATCCCATAAGCATAAATTAAAAGCATAATAAAGCATATAATAAGCAACATAGGTACAATACAAGCATGCACAAAAATATGTAAAATAATTCTCTAAGATTTTAATCCCAATTAAAACATGTCAACGCATGATAAATCTCATAGAACAATTTAATAAATTGTTTAAACATGTTTCCAAAACTAATAGCCATATAAGCAATCAAACTTTCCTTGAAATTAACTTATGAGTTAATTTACTCATTCCTTTGTAAATCCATTTAGTGTTATGAATATTTATATGCATTCCAGTATTTAATTAGGTCCATTAAAACCCTAAAACTCCATTAAAACCTCCGTAGATCAATTCTGGAAACCAAAACTCAAAACCAAGTAGCAGGGCAATTGAGTCGGCTTAGTTACCAACTAAGTCGGCTCTCTGCCCAACTGAGTCGGCTGGGTTGGCAACCCAGTCAGCTTAATTGCCATCTGAGTCGGCTCAATTACAACGGAGTTGGCTCAGTTGGACCTGGGTCTTCTTCTTCCTCACGACAGTAGCTTTTGGCCTCTGTAACTTGTCTGTTTCGCCTCCGATTCGTGTAAGAACAATCCTAATTAATTCTAGGATGATCTAATACATGATTTAGCTTCTAAATATGCATTATAAACATGATTTTATTCCAATAAATCCATCCAACCATAATATATATAAACCATATATATACACACATAACTAGTTTCTTTCCATGCTTTTAACCCTATGCCTAGGTGATTTGCATGAAATTAAAATCTAAATTATGATACCCAAGGTGTAGAACTCATGGGTTCTAAGAGGAGAGGTAAAGAAGAACTTGCCTGAAGTTTCAAAACGAAACTGACGCACCGCAAGCTTCTCAATTCTGATCTGCAACTCCTGCTTCTCTTTGTGTTGCCGTTGTCTCCTTCCTTGGTCCAGCCTTCCCTATGGTTCGGCTTTCCCTCTCGGTTTCTCTCTCTTTCGGTAAACCCTATTTTTGCCTCCATCTTTCTCATGTAATAACCCTTCTTCCAAGGGTTACACAATAGGTATATATATATATATATATATACACATACACCTAATCTCCTAACCCTAATATGACAACTCCCCATATGTATATACGTAATATACATATAAATAAATATATATATAATTTATATATATATATACTCCTCCAGAATAAACAAGTACATATATACGATGTATATATACTTACTATATTTATATATATATTCTAGTTAATATTTATATAATAAATCCAACAATAATGATAATTATAATTATTTACGTCATATATATATATAATTACTATATATATATAATCCCCCTATATATATATATATATATATATATATATATATATATATATATTTATGCATAAATTCATGGGCCTCTAAGCCTTATAAATCCTCCAAGGCTTCCCATATAGCCCACTACCAAATCCTTTAATCCATTTCCAAGTCCAGTCCATTTAATAAAATAAATAAATCAATAAAACAACTAATTACATGCATCACATACACAAACAATCAACAAAGTCATTCCATATAACCAAAGTCAACACAACAACAAATCAATCAAAAATCAAGTATCTAACACACACACAATCATCATTCCAATAAATTAAATAACAAAATAAATTAATTTAAACCAGTAAATCTATTTAAACCCATTTAAAGGCAATTCATTTAATTAAATATTTCCTTTAAAATCTAGGGGTATTACACAGCCCCTTGGGCTCCCATGGCTGCCGGCCAAGAGGGTGAAGAAGATGATGGAAATCTGACTTTAAAAGTGCCCCGAAAGGGTCCCGCCGGGTCCGGAAAAGTGAAATCTGAGCAGAAGCACTCAAACGGTGAAACTCTGTGAATGAAAAAGATTCAAAATGAGAAAGTATGAACAACGGAAGAAACGACGTCAAAAACTGAGTCTTGAGCAGAGAGGTATACCTCAAACAAGTTTGACAGCAACCGGGTCTAGAAACCCTGAAACTGGAGAAAAATGAGCAGAAGGAAATTCTATGAGTACACGACTCGACGAAAGGTAAAAATGAATCCCGTTCGAGGATCCAGGCTAAAAATAAGGTATTTTACAATAACTTTCGTTAATTGCATAATAGCCCCTATAAAAAGTGAAAACTGCACTAATGACTCAGAATGAAAATATTTTCCAAAAATATTTTCTTAAAAACCCTTAAAATAAAATATCTTCAAAAGAAATTTACAAAAAACACTCCAAGAAAATAAAAGGATTTTGAAAAACTATGCATCCATGTCCCTATGGACACAAGGAGCAACTAAAGTACTTTTCTGCAAAAGTAAATATATGTATTTCGTGGAAACCACTTAGAATGATGATACGTGAAGTTAAAAACTAACTCTGAACACAGGGAGTGAGGTTATGCCAACAAAGTGACAAACAGGGAAAAGGACAAAACAGGAAAAATGACGAAAGTGAATAGTGTCGAAAAATGAAAAATGTGGAAATGACTCGGTCCTCAAAGGAAGTTGTCAATTCAAAGGAAAGAGTCTCAGAAACCATTTTCGAGCACTCAAGATAACACTAAACGATGAGAAACCGAACTTAGAAAAGGAATTACAACGAAAAAAGTTTATTCGTAAAATCCTAAGGAAAAAGGAAAGGAAGGAAATGACCGGGTCATTACAACCTACCCTCTTTAAAGAGATTTTGTCCCCGAAATCAGAAACATTCCCAGAAGAATC